GTATTCCATCTGGTGAGGTCCCTGTGTATAGTTGCCATTTATGTTATTGAGAAAAGGGATTTGCAATGAGTAAGTCGTTGGTCTTGCAAAATTCTGTAATGCGGTCTCCAGTATATTGTATATCACCAAGACCATATTTTCCAATTACTGATCCTTCCTCTCTGTTTCCAAGTTTTGCATTCCAATCACCAGTAATTATCAGTGCACCTTGATGGCATAGTTGGTCAATTTCGGACTGAAGAAGTTGGTAGAATTCTTCAATTTCATCATTACTAGCTTTAGTGGTTGTTGTGTAAATTTGAATAATTGTGGTATTAACTGGTTTTCCTTGTTAGGTATATGGATATTATCCTATCACAGACAGCATTGGACTTCAACATAGATCTTGAAATTGCTCTTTTTGACCATGAGTATGATGCTATTCCTCTTCTATTTGTCACTCTTGGTATAATAAACCATATGATTGTCCAGTTAAGCATGGCCAATACCAGTCCATTTTAGCTCACTAACATCTGGGATATTGATCTTTTTGTGTTTCATTTCATTTTGACTTTCATTGTTCCTAGGTTTATACTTCGTACAGTCCATGTTTTGATTATTAATGGATGTTGCAGCTGTTTCTTTTCAGTTTGCCCCATCAGAAAATGAAGACCCTGAAAGCTTTTCTCCATTCATGTCATTTATGGTCATAGAGGCAGCTCTTTCCCAGTCATATTTTAAGTGTCTTCCAACCTGAGGGGCTCATCTTCTGGCTCTATATTTGATAGTGTTCTATGGCTATATATTGTTGGTTCTGAAGTGCATGGGGTCACTATGAGTCGGTTCCGACTCGATGGCACCTGACAACAAATTGCCATGACTAAGATTTTCAGTGGCTATGTAGAGCTGTAGATTAATGCGCTGGACTGCAAAGTCTGTTTGAACCTTAAGGGTCGGCGGTTTAAGCTCACCAGCTGCTCCTTGGAAAACCTAGACAGAGTTGCTGTGAGTCGGAACTGACTGGACGGCACTTAACAACAACAATAACAGACATTCAGAAGTAGTCCGCCCCTCCTCCTTCCTAGTCTGACTTAGTCTGGATATTCTGCTGAAACCTGTCCACCATGGGTGATCCTGATGGTGTTTCAAATGCTGGTGGCATAGCTTTCACTATCACAAAAACATGTAAGCTGTCACAATATGACAAATGGACAGATGTGAGAATGACCAAAATAGGACACAGAGACAGAGTGAGCACAAGCTGTTGGAAAAAGCGGTGCCGATTGACTTGCTCTGTGCAGAGTTGCTGCCAACCTTCAATTTGTAAAAAGTGCAATAAAATAAAGTGAGGTATGCCTGTCATGTTTTGTAGCTGGTATGGGGGCCTCCGACCACCAGGGGGAGCTGTGGATCAGGGTTGGGGGAGGTGAAACTTGGGAATCCTGCTCGGAGTCCAGGCCTGGGCAAAAGGGAGAGAGAGTGATACCCCTCCTCACCTCCCCAGATTGGTCCTTGGGTTTCCAGCAAAGCCTGTAGAGAGACTGGGAACTCCCAAGCTTGACTGAAGTCATTTCCCCATAGACTCCTAGGCCTATACCCCTGTTGGGGGAGGGGTTGGGTGTCAGGAGCCAGGGGCTGTACACTTAGACCCCAAGTGTCACAGTCGAGGCTCAGCAAACCAGCACAGATGGAGGCTCTGGGGGCATTAGGATGGACTGTCACTTCCCCCCCATCTGACTGACAACCTAAGGGTACGTATTTCTAGGGTAGGGGCTGTATCACCTGCTCTGCGAATCCTAATAGGTAATCGCTCTCCCCCTTTAATACAATGATATGGTAAGATACAGCACAAAAAGTTTGCCACTTGAATCATTTCTAAGTGCACAGCTCAGTACCTTAATGATCTTCATCGTGCTGGGCAAATACCACCATTCTTTCCAAACCTTTCCAATCACGCCAAACAAACTGTATACCTCTTAATCAATAACTCCCCATTTTCACTTCCCCCAGACTCTGGTAGCCACTCATCCACTTTGTATGCATGAATTTGCCTGTTCAAGATTTTTTGTTATTGTTAAGTACCTTCCAGTCGGGGTTCCTACCCACAGTGACCCCGTATAGGGTTTCTGAGGAGTGTCTGGTGAGTTTGAACCACCGACCTTGTGGTTCAAACTGACCTTGCAGCTGAGTTCTTATCCTACAGCTCCACACCAGGATGTTGTTGTTGTTGTTAAGTGCCATCAAGTCGGTTCCGACCCATAGCGACCCTGTGTAGGGTTTCCAAGGAGTGGCTGGTGAGCTTGAACTGCCGACTTTGCAGTTCAAACTACAGTCTGACGCATTAATGCACAGCGCCACACCAGGACTAGCTCATGTTATAAATGGGGTCATATGATTTTTGTGTCTGATCTATGTCAGCTTGATGTAGGTAGCCTTCATCCGTATTGTAGCCTGAGTTTGAGCTTCATGTCTATGTATGTCTTCATGACTAATGTACCACAGTGTAGCTGCACACTTGGGTTGTGAATCATCTGCAAGTGAACTTTGGTGCACACGTGTTTGTTTTGAGTCCTTGATTTCAGATCTCTTGGATAATTGCCCACCAGCCACGCCTCAGAAACCCTATACAGGGTTGGAGGAGGAAAAAAGTTGAAGGGACTTAACAAACACAACAGCATATTGCTGACCATATGGTGATTCTGTGTTTAACCTGACCAAGTTCCTGGGTGGTGTAAATAGTCCAAGTGCTCTGCTACTAACTGAAATGTTGGGTGGCTCGAACCCACTCAGATGCACCTCAGAAGAAAGGGCTGGCTATCTGTTTCCCATAGGTCACCACCTTGAAAACCCTATGGAGCGCAGCTAGACTCTGCACACATGGGGTCACCACAAGTGGGCATCGATTTGATAGCAGATGGTATGCTTAACTGGAGAAACTGCTATACTGTGGTCAGTTAGTCCTAAAGTGGAGTGTGGTCAGTTAGTCCTAATGTGGAGTGTGGTCAGTTAGTCCTAATTCATGCTCTCCTGTGTGACAGGTGGGGGCACTAGGGAACAGGCTAGGCAAAGTCCCTGTCTGCAGACTCCCCCTTGTGAGGGAGATGGGCATTAACTATATCAGGGAGCTGATGAATCTATTTCTAGGTTGCTGGAGATGAACTGAACTGTTTGGATCAGGTGGTTGGAGGGTCTGTCTGTGGTGGGAGTGAGAGAGGGAGGGTTCTGGAAGGAGGCCTGGGGCTGGTGCGGGCAGGGGCATTGAAGGCTGAAGGAGGCAGATGCCCCAGGGCTCTGAGTTGTTGGAAGTTTACCCTGTTTGTCTGTGAGACGGTTCTTCTGGTTGGTTGGTGATTTGGCAGGGAAGAAGGGATGGTGACTCCATGCAATGAATGCCAATCTTGTCCATCTGTTGTACCTGTTTGATAGAGGAGAAAACTAAGGCATAAGAACCATGGCCCCTCTTGGGGGGCGATCTAACTGTCTGCCCAAGCCTGGCCAGGGTGGAGTTTGGGGACAATTGTGCCCTGTGGCAGGTGGGAGCCGTTGGTGGTATCCGGGCTCTGGCAGACCTGGGGCTGCTGGGCGGTTTTCACAAGCCCAGGCAGGGGCAGGTTGGGGCCACTGGGCTTCCGCAGGGCCCAGGGCAGGAAGAGCTGGCGCTGATGTAAGCCCTTGCGCAAACCTCAGGCTGCTGGCTTCCGGAGCCCGCTCTCGAAGGAGGAAGCCGGGCCTGGTAAGCCCCAAGGACCTGCTGCCCCCAGCCTGTCCACAAGGGTGCTGGGACTGGCCACCATGGCCCTGGGTCCTGAGGGCTTGGCGCTGGAGTCGGGTGAGCCAGGTGGGACTGGGCCGGAAGGGAGACACAGAATGGCGATAGGCGGCATGTGGCTAGTGGGCTCTGCCTTCTGCCTTCTCCATTTGGGGGACTGCCCAGCCTCAGTTTCCCCACATGTACCACCAGGGTCTGGATTGGACATCTGGGGACCCTGTGCTCCTGGGACGAGATCAGTAAGCTATATACCGACTCTGGGGGGCTGGCTGGGATCTGTGAGCCTTGGTGGGCTGGGCAGGGGCCATTCTGAACTCTGAATCGCACACACCATCTGTGCGCTTTCTATAAAGCCCCGGAACTTCTATACCACCTGCAAACTGCCGCTCCCAGGGACTTAGAGAAGGTCTTCCTAAGGTGTGCCCAGAAGGTGGAGATGATTGGTCACTCTCTGCCCAGTGTACTGTAGCCCCTCCTTCAGGGTAGCTGAGAGGGCGTGATGCCATTCACAGTGTGGCAGGCTTTGGTGATCGGGCTGTTGCTATTATTGTTTATTGTCATTACTGGATTTCTCTTCCTTTGCCTAATTCTGAGGGCGGCGCTATTGTCCCCATTTTGCTGATGAGCAGACTGAGGTCAGTTGAGGGAAGTCCCTTGCCCAGGGTTCACCGGGCATCATTTGGGGCTTCAGATCGGAACCCCCATCTGGCAGCCTGGGGACTGAGGGACTGAGGGGTGTGGCATGATGAAGTGGGGTGGGAGTCAGGCAGGCACCCTGGGTGGGGAGTAGGCATGGTGGGTGGGGTATGGTCTCCACTCAGGCCCAAGTTGGTTGTCATTCTAAGCAGCAGATGTCTTCCTCCTTGTCATGCTCATTGCTCTTGTACATTCATTGACACCTCTGGTTGTGGGTCCCCACTCACTGGCGGGATGAGCAGGCATGCCCTGTCTCTGGCTCCTGGAGGTCCTTGACCCCACAGAACTTTGGCAAACTGGGAAGATCCCCTCTCTGGTGTGACTGTGGAACTGCTAAGCTTGCTGGGTGCACGGGGGTGGGTCTGCTCTGTGGCTTCCTCTGGTCGTCCGGGGTTCAACCTGGGCTGTGTCAAGCCCTGAGTCTGGCAGAGTGGCCCCAGGTCTGTTGCCGGGCCGGGGGAAGTTTCTTTGGCCTCCCTGTGGTGGGAGACATGGGGGTCTCAGGGTGGTGGGCCATGGCAGTGGCTGCCTGACAGGCGCCCCCTTCTCTTCACAGGCGAGGCCTTCCTGGGCAGCTTTGTGGCCGGCGGGATGGGGCCCTCGGCCTCAGCCCATGGCAGCCCGGTACCCCTGCCCTCTGACCTCTCCTTCCGCTCCCCCACCCCCAGCAACCTGCCCATGGTGCAGCTGTGGGCCGCCCATGCCCATGAAGGTAAGGAGTGGGCCAGGTGGGAGGGCCGAGGGCTGGGCCACTGTCCCCACACCCCTCCCGGTCACCTTGTACCGGCTCCTCCCCATGTGGCTACTGGGCCCAGCCCTAGCCGCCCACCCTCTCTGCTCCAGGTTCACCAGAGCTGTAGCTGTGCTGGCCTCCTCACTGTGCTCCAGTGGATTCCTATTCACAGCACCCCTCTAGGGCAGAGTAGAACTTCTAGTTCCTTAGGGTTTTTGAGACTGTATATCTTTATGAGAGCAAATAGCCACATCTTTCTGCCTTGGAGCAGCTGCTGGCTCTGAACTGATGATCTGTGGTTACAAGCCCAGCGCTTAGCCTATAGCACCACCAGCACTCATCAGTGCATTTCTTTTATCACAGGGCCTTTGCACGTGCTGGTCCTTTTGCTGCTGCTGTTAAGGGCTGTCTAGTCCGTTCCCACTCAATAGTGACCCTGCATAATGTTTCCAAGGAGCACCTGGTGAGCTTGAACCGCCAACCTTGCAGTTCAAGCCGGCCTTACAGTCCAGCGTATTAGCCCACAGCACCACACCAGGACTCCATTGCTTCTGCTAACAGCCCTCATCTGTCCCCAACCTGGTTGTCTCTTGTTCACCCCTCAGGACTTTACTCAAATGTCCCCTCCTCTGGGAACTCCCCAAGCCCCTTTTCTTGTATGACGTTGGCTGTATCTGATGACTCGAGATGTCTGACCCCCGACCAGTGTGAGCCTCGGTGGGGGTAGAGTTAGATTCTTACTGTTCACTGCTGGCTCCCGGCAGGTCCCCAGGGTGCATTTCTGCAATGATGACTGGCTGAGAGGGGTCTGCTGGCCTGGCTTCTTGCCCACTGTCGCGGAGCCTCTTGTTTTCTGTGTCAGTGCAGGGACTGGTTGGGGGAGACCACAGGCTATTTATTCCCTCACCTTCGCTCTGGTGGGTATTAGATTCTAACCCTTAGCACAGTCCCACGACTGGGTGCTCCTGAGGCCTGGAGGTTGTACTTACCCTGTCTCAGGGTCTTTTCTAGGTCTTTGTGAGTTCTAAGTGTAGTGTCTGTCCTGAGAGCTCCCTGTTAAATCCTGAGGGGCGGGGCCATGGTAGTTCACGTACAGTCCAGGGAGAAGCAGGTACTCCAGTCACACGGCCAGTTCCATAAGAAGTGTTCGTACCTATTGTACAGGTGTGACCCCTGAGACTGTTCCTCCCAGGCCACTTGGGGATGGCATCTGAATCCAAGAATGAGGGTGCCCCCTGCCTCTACTGGGGTTCACGTGGAATGATGGCAGGAAGGCCTTCCAGCCTGGGTCCTGGTCCACAGCTCCCTTTACCAGCCCAGGCAGAAAGCTGTTCCTGCATCCCGGAGGGTGGGTTATCTTCTGCACAAGTCAAAGCTCATCATACATCGCCACATGTGCCTCTTCGAGTCCTTGTGAACATGCCTGAGGCATAGGCCTTGTGCTTCCCATTTTATGGAGAAGAAAGCAGAGGCTGGAGGCTGACAATGAGGTTAGGTGGTCCTCAGTGCGCTAGGGTTCTATCAGTGTTGTTATTTAAGGGGCCTATGGGAGGAGGCCTGGTGTGGCGCTGTGGGTTAATACACTGGACCGCAAAGCCGTTTGAACTGCAAGGTTGGCAGTTCAAGCTCACCAGCTGCTCCTCGGAAACCCTATACAGGTTCGCTATGGGTCGGAACCGACTCGACGGCACTTCACAACAACAACATAGGGGAGGAGGCCTGATATTCAGAGTGACAGGGATAGGTCCTTTGTCCCCTGGCTTCACAGAGAGTGGCTTGGGAGCTTGAGAGATCTAAGACCCTTAAAGTGTCTCCTCAATGGCCCTTTTAAGACCCAAGGCCCTGGCAGAGCGGCAGGACCCTCCCCTAGTACCCAGCGGGCCTGCTAGGTCTCTCGGTTCATGCTTCCAGTCCTTCAGGAGCAGCCTCTGGGTCCCTCTGATGCTTCTCTTCTTTCTCTGAGGTCAGCCCTCTGGGTTAGGGATAGGGTTAAAACCAAAAACCAGACCACTGCCATTGAGATCCAGTAGGACAGAGTAAGAGTAGAATGCCTCATGGGGTTTCCAAGGCTGAATTCTTTACTCTCGTGGAGAGGCTGGTGGGTTTGAACTATGACCTGAGGGTAGCAGCTTTAACCACTGCAGTTAGGGGAATTCCTGCTGGGGAAAGCTGGCAGGGGGAGATACTGAGTTGACTAAGGTTTAGAAAGGGCATGGGGCCTGTCCATCATAACAGCAGAGAAAGGGGCCCATAGAACCATGCAGCCGGACTTTTAAGATCTGATGGCCTCGATTCAAAACCAAACTTCCCTGCTGTGCAACCGTGGGCAAGCTGGCCTTTCAGAGCTTTGGTTTTCTCATCTGTAAGATGGGGATAGTAAGATCACTTTGAGGTTTAAATGAGAATCATGAGGGTAAAGCAGTTGACAAGCTCAGAGTATAGCTTGAGGGGTTGTCTGAAATCTCTTCCTGAGGAATTTTAGACCCCAAGTGGGGTGCTGCTAGAGGGAGGCTTAGACTTCTGGTTGCTGACTTTCCCTCCTCCTGGAGGCTGAAACTCAAATAGTTTGTTTCTAAGGAATCGAAAGGACTGGAAAGAAGTGTTTCCTGGGAGGCATAAGGGGGTCCACCTTGTTTTCTCTTCTCTCTTACAGGTTTTTCCCACCTGCCCAGTGGGTTGTACCCATCCTACCTCCACCTGAACCACCTGGAGCCCCCCAGCAGCGGGAGCCCACTTCTCAGCCAGCTGGGCCAGCCCAGCATTTTCGATACCCAGAAAGGTCAGGGGGACAGGATTGGATGCATTTGTGGGGGCTGGGGATAGAGTGATGGTGGGGGCTAAGGGATTCTCTGGGGTCCCCAACCAGCTGTTATTTCAAGCAGCACCCCAGGTCTTTTTTTTTTTTTATAAGACCCTCCCCCCAGACATTCTGGTGCTTTCTAGTGCCCAGTTGTGGAAACAACCCTAGGCCTCTTCCCCTTTTACTAATGGGTAAACTAAGGTTCAGAAAGTCACAGATGGCTAAGCCTGCACTCTCTGGGGCTGAGCTGTTTGAGTCCCTCTTGCTTAACCTCTCTGGTCAGCAACCTGGGGATCTAGGGCACCATCCCTTTCTACCCTGGACTCACCTCACACTGTGCTCTTTTCCACAGACGGTTTTTATCTGTCTACCCCCGGGGCGCCGGGCGCCCTGCACTCCCACACATCCTCCTCCAGGACCCCAGGCAGCGCCTCCTCGGGAGCTCCAAACAAAGGCTCATCGCGGGAAGGGGCCACCAAGGAGCGGGCAGGCCGTGGCGGGGAGCCGCCTCCGCTGTTTGGCAAGAAGGACCCCCGGGCCCGAGAGGAGGCAGTGGCCTCAGGGCCACGCAGCGTCGTGGACCTCACCCAAGAGACCCGGGCCGACGGCCGGCAGGACCGCGGGCCCCCACGCCTTGCCGAGCGCCTGTCGCCTTTCTTGGCGGAACCCGGGCCACCACGGGCCCACGCCGAGGCCAAGAGCAAGGGCGCGCTACAGCCCGGCCTGTGCAACGGAGCGGGGGACCTGTGTACCAAGGAGGCGGTGCGCCAGGACGAGGGCTCGCGACTGCGGCGCGCCGAAGCCCTGCTGCCCGGTTCTTGCCCTTGTCCCTCGCCGCTCCCTCCCGGCAAAGGCCCGCCCGCGACCCCCACCGCCACCGGGGCCTTCTCGGCGCCGCCTCCCCAGCCCGGGCTCGCAGGCGTCTACACCATCTTCCCAGCGGCGCGGGAGCCAGGCCGGGAGCACCGCGTAGTGGCGCCCACCTTCGTGCCTTCCGTGGAGGCCTGCGACGAGCGCCCAGGGCCCATCCAAATAGCGTCCCAGGCGCGCGATGCACGGGCCCGGGAGCGCGAGGCCGCCCGGCCCGGGGTCCTGCAGCCACCTCCCGGGTCTCCGCGGCCACCACTCGCCGAGCGACCCGAGGTGCTACGCGAAAAGAACTCGGTGATCCGCTCGCTGAAGCGGCCTCCACCCACCGAGGCCCCACCGGGACGTACACGCGCTTCTCCGGACCTACGGGCCTACCTCCCCACCAAGGAGCTGCCCAAACCTGAGGCCGAGCCACGGGCCTGCGAGCGTGCGCCCCGGGTCCCCGCCAGCGCCGCTCAGCAGGCCGCCAAACTCTTTGGCCTGGAACCTGGGCGACCACCTCCGTCCGGCGCCCCTGAGCACAAGTGGAAACCCTTCGAGCTGGGCCACTTTGCCACCACGCAGATGGCCGTGCTGGCCGCGCAGCACCACCAGGCCAGCCGTGCTGAAGAGGAGGCCGCTGTGGCCGCTGCCTCCAAGAAGGCATACCTGGACCCTGGGGGCACGATGCCCCGCTCTGGGACCTGCGGGAGACCTGGAGCTGACCTGCATCCAGTGGCCCACGGACCCGGTGAGGCTTCAGCCATGCAGAGCCTCATCAAATATAGCGGCAGCTTCCCTCGTGAGGCCGTGGCCGTCCGCCCAGGCGGCTGCGGCAAGAAGAGCCCATTTGGAGGCCTGGGTACCATGAAACCTGAACCAGCCCCAACCACCGGTGGAGCCCCACGCGCTCAGGGCCGCCTCCAGCAGCACTCCGGAGGTTCCTCAGCGGGCAGCGGGCGGCAACTGAAGCGGGACCCTGAGAGGCCCGAGAGTGCCAAGGCCTTTGGACGAGAGGGCTCAGGCACACAGGGTGAGGCAGAGGTGCGACACCCGCCTGTTGGCATCGCAGTGGCTGTGGCCCGACAGAAGGACAGTGGAGGGAGTGGCCGACTAGGACCCGGTCTTGGGGACCAGGAGCGGTCTCTATCCCTGAACAACGTCAAAGGTAGGATCTGGCTCCACCCTCTTCTCCCCTTTGCTTTTATAAAATTAGTATTTTGTTATTGGGAATATACACAGTTAGAGCATACTCTTAACAAAGCAGTTCAATGATTTCTATGTGCACAGCTCACTGACATTGACCTTTTTCAAGCTGTATAACCTTTCTGCGCCTCCTTTTCCAAATTGTTCTTCCCGCATTAACATAAACTCACTGTCCACTAAGTTTCCTCTATCTTCTCTCCATTTGCTGTTGCCAATTTGATCCAACATAGATAGATCTTGAAAGAGCACAATGCTCAAGGCAGGCATTCTTTACTAATTAAGCAACACAATTGTTTGATGAAGAGTCTAGGGGATATTTTTAGTTTAAGGTTTAAAGATTTCAGCAGTAGTTTTGGGGGTTCATCCAGCTGGCTTTAGAAAGTTTGGATTCCATGAGAATTTGAAATTATGTCCTGTAATTTCCCCCCTCTTGATCTTTATAGACCCTTTTTCAACATGCTCAGTAGTGGTAACCAGGCACTATCCAGTCTTCCTTCTTGCTGTCAATTTCTACCTTTTTATGGTCCCTTCACACCCCTCCCATGACTCTTTCTGTTCTGTTTTCCCAATCCATTTGTCCTCTGTCCCACTGTGGGCTGCCCCTACTATTTTAAGTTTATGACTTTTTCCATTTGCCCATAGAAAATGTAGATATAAATACAGAGAAGGAGGAAGAAGCGAAAAGGAACATTGTATTTTCCTAACACCCTGAACACTGTTCTATCTTTCCTGGAACTTGTTTTCCTGTACCAAATAGCCCCTAGAGTGCATTTTGTACTATTTTGGCCTGTGGTTTTCACTTCTGTTGTGTGGGGTTTTCTCCCTCATTATTGCCAGCTTTAAAAAAAGTCTCATTTTTTTCATAACCTTTGACTTTGCTAGTCTGTTGGGAGCATGTTCCATCCTTGAGGTAACCATTCCCCCTGGTGGACATTTTGATTTTCCCTTCTCTGATGTTTTGTCTTTATAATGTTGCCTTGAATATTTTTGTGCATTATGCTTTTATGGTACTTGGAGTCATTTACTAAGAATAGGTTACTAGGTAATAAAGCAGCATTAAACTTGAGGTTTTCAAATCCTTGAAGGAGGGAACTATATCTGTCTGTCTGTCTGTCTGTCTGTTGTTAGGTGCCATCAAGTCAGTACCGACTCATAGCGACCCTATGACTAACAGAACGAAACACTGCCTCATCCTGTGCCAACCTTACAATCATTGCTACCTTTGAGCCCATTCCTGCTGCCACTGTGCCAGTCCGTATTATTTAGGGTCGTCCTCTTTTTCTCCTACCCTCCGTTTTACCAAACATGATGTCCTTCTCCAGGGACTGTTCCCTCCTGACACTGTGTCCGAAGTATGAGAGACGAAGTCTAGCCATGTTGTACTATGGTGGCGTTTGTGTTGCTGTGATTCTGGAAGCTACGCCATGGTTATTTTAAATGCCGGTAGGGTCTCCCATGATGGTTTCAGCTGAGCTTCCAGATGAAGACAGACTGGGAAGAAGGCGAGACGGACTACTTCCGAATAGTTAGTCACTGAAAACCTTATGAATAGCAGTGAAACACTGTTAGCACCAGATTATTAAATATATGTAGTCCTGGTGTGGCTCTGTGGGTTAATGTGCTGGATTATAAAGTTGGTTTGAACTGCAGGGTCTGCAATTGAAGCTCACCAACCGCTTCTTGGAGTCGGTTCTGACCCAGAGTGACCCTGTATAGGGTTCCGAGGCTGTAAATCTTTATGGGAGCACAAAGTCTCATCTTTTTTCCCTTGGAGTGATTGGTGAATTCGAACTGCTGACCTTGTGGTTAGCAACCCAGTACATAATCTATGACATCTTCAGTGTCCTTTTATTCTTGTTAGGTGCCATTGAGTACACAACAGAACGAGACCCTGGTCCTGTACCATCCTCACAATTGTTACATTTTGAGCCCCTTTGTTGTTGTTATGTGCCATGGAGTTGGTTTCCGACTCATAATGACCCTGCACAGGGTTTCCAAGGCTGTTCATCTTTATAGGAGCAGAACGCCTCATCTTTGTCCCGCAGAGCAACTACCTGGTATATATCCAGCTGCTCCTCGGAAACCCTATACAGGGTCACTATGAGTCGGAATAGACTCGACGGCACTTAACAACAACAACCTGGTATGTAATAGATGCTTGATTAGTGAGTGAGTTCATGTTTGAGCTTATGAGGGAGATAAACAGAAGTTCCGGTATTTGTTAAATTATTTTTTGTTCGGTTTTTATTCGATGTAGAATTCAATGGTAGAATCGTACCTTCCATGCGGAACCCCTGGTTCAATTCCCTACCAATGCATCTCATGCTTACCCACCACCGGTCCATCCGTGGAGGCTTGCAAGTTGCTGTGATGCTGAAATGGTTTCAGCTGTGCTTCCAAAGATAGACTAGGAGGAAATGCCTGGCGATCTACTTCTGAAAATAAGTCAGTGAAAATCCTGTGGATCACCATGATTGGGGGTGACAGCTAAAGTTTGGTGGCGCCTAAAACCAGCAATACAGCACTCTGTGGGCATTGATGCACAGCACCTAGGCAGGCTCATTCAGTCATTAGCAATTTCAGTGCTTAGCTGTGTCTGAGTTCAGATCCCTCTGAATGGTTTGAAGATTATTCTTTGAAAAACAAACCAACGGTTATTCATTAGGTAGATGCATTTGTTGAATTATTAAACCCCACTGCGGTCATCTGATTCACATTCAGAATGACCCTGTAGGACAGAGTAGAACTGCCGCGAAGGGGTTCCAGGACTGTAAATCTACAGAAACGGAATCTTTCTTCCATAGAGCAGCTGGTGGCTTCAAACCTCCATCCTCTGGGAAGCAGTCCAATGGACTTAGCTTTGGTTGGCTTTGGTTTATCTCTCCCTGGCACTTGAGTTATTGGGCCCCTCCTGGTATTTTTGTTGGAATTGGGAAACTTCTGTTGGTTTTGTGTTTGGGGGACTGAGACCTGCCTCTCTGCTCAGGTTGTGTTCAGTTGGCTGTGGGATACAATGGGCAGATTTGGGGTGCTGGCTGTAGAAGGATGAGTCTTGGATTCTTTGTGCTTAGGGGATGTCTCAGCAGTCTCTCTGTTTTCTTCTCTTGTGCCCAGCCTCCCTACTGAATTCTCTGACCATTAAGCCTGGGCCATCCTGGACCCCGTCTGGATGCAGCTCTTACCTCTTATAAATTGCATAGATGTCACCAGATACATATCACCTGGGTCCCCATCCGTCCCTTGGTCTGGCCCTTCCAGTGTCCACCCAAGCTGACTACCGAACTTGGTCCTTGGTGAATGGTCACTCCTGTATCCTATCACAACTGCCCCATGGACCTTCAGTCCCCTCTTCCCAGTAAGCCCAGTGAGACATCCAAAGCACTCCCTACTGCTCCCTGATGCCACCCAGGGCCTTTCTAATGTCGCTCTGGTCCTCTGCTCACAACTCACTGCCCACTGCTGCCCCAACCCTGGAGGCACGCTCCAGGGACTGGGTCATCTCCACTTGTGGCATTTCTTATCCACCTAGTGCTTGACAATCCCCTGATATGCACTTTACTTGAGCTGCTGATCGATGTCCCATTCTTCTTCAATGCCTAGTCTTCCTGGTCTCTTAGGAGCCACACAGACACTCCCCAGTGAGCTCTGGGTGTCCCTGCTGCCTGGGAGCAGCCTTCAGATCTTTGGCTTCGCAGCTGAGAGACAAGGTCTCTTGGTCCCCCATAGGTGGATCAGAGGGAAGGAGGCTTAGTAAGTGTTTGTTGAACTACCGAACGAGAGTCCATTTCTCTGTGCAGGACCCCGGCGCTCACACGAGGGTCTCCTTACACTAGGATTGAAAGAGTCGTACCAGCCCTTGGCTTTGGGGGCGGCTCATCTCTCCTACTAGCTTGGAAGGTCTGGAGTAGTGGTTTTCTCTTGGGGTTCCCGTTTCTGGCCCCACATTCATAGTTGCATTGACATGTATTGGGGATGCATTGTGGCCCTGCTGTTGGGAATGCATGACCCCCAGGGTCCACCCTCTGTCTTTGGGGATATGAGTTCATGCTTATGTGTCGTGTTAGAAAGAGAGGGAGAGAGCGTGATGGATAGGTTTGGGATGAGATATTCAGGGTGGCTCAGTGGGTTAGGCAGCGTGGGAGAAAGATGTGTCAGCCTGCTCCTGAAAAGATTGACAACCTCAGAAACCCCCGTGGAGCATTTCTATCTATCCTAGAGGGTCACTTTGAATCACAATCAACTCGATGGCCGTGGTTTTCTTTTTTTGTTCTTCTCTGTTGGTGCTGACAGTTGAGAAGTAGGGAAGTAGCTGGCTGGATTCTTTCACCTTTAAATGTTAAGTGCCATCGAGTAGGTTCCGACCCATAGTGACCCTGTACAGGGTTTCCGAGGGTGTAAATCTTTACAGGAGTAGAAAGCCTCATCTTTCTCCCGCGGAGCAGCTGGTAGTTTCGAAATAGAAGGGAAAAAATCCTGTGAGAAAGTGGTGGCTCCAGCCCCCTTACTGAACGATCTGCAGTGAGCTGAGATGTTAGGCGCCCTTCACCGCCTCTGCGTGTGTTGAGGGATTGCCCTCAACCCAGTGGGTGGTTGTCCAGGGGTCTCTCTTCCCCTGTCTTACCCTGTGGTAAAATATTTATAATAACATTGGTCGGTATAACCATTCTTAAGTGTATAATTCAGTGACATTATTTATTGTCACAGATGATGAACCAGCAGTCCCTATTTCTAATGGTTTTCATCCGCCCAAATAGAAACTCAGTAACCTTTATGTAGTAACTTCACATTCCACCTCCCTGAGCCTCTGTCTTTATTTGTCTAGTCTGGACATTTCCCCTAAGTGGGACCCAACAATCTTTGTCCTTTGGTGTCTATCTTATTTCACTGAGCATCCTGCTTTCAAGTTTTATTCGTATTGGAATGTGCCTCAGAACTTCATTGTGTTTTATAGCAGAATAATAT